TCTGAACCTGTGGCAATCAGAGAGAAATGGAGACATCTCGACAGCTTCAGTGAACTGTTTATTTTTGCTTTGCAAGATTAGGTTACCGGAAGGGTAGTCATTTTCTACGAGTACTTGTGCCAATGTATATATATATATCGAACCTCATGTTGGCTAGTTTTGAACAGCACAAAATAGCACAAATATGCACGAACAGTTATGTCAGTAAGATCAAGAAGGAATTAACGATCCCAGAGCAGACCAACTCTGCAACAAGTCCTTTGATCCAAGCCCAACAGTGGCGGAATAATTGCATCCATCACTGGGAAGGTCACTTTTTGACATCAACCGTGCTTCGTCATGTGGATTTTGGTTTCAAGCTCCTTAAAATATCAAGAGGGGGAAAGAACAAGCAGGTGAAACCACCAACCAGTCAACCATCTTCAAAGGATTCACTCTAGAGTCAAAGAAAGAGGTACTGTGATGTTTCTTTGTTTGATGTTGAGAATGCACTGATGGTATCAGTGTCCAATCTGCATCATAGCATGCCCAACCCAGCCTGCCCCAAAGGCAAAGATGTTACCGCTACCTGAAACGTGGCCATCATGAACCCATCCAACCAATGCACAAGGAGGACATGGACAACATTTAGAACACATGATAGTTTCGCCGTTGACCCAGCCCTTCCTTGAAGTCAGTTGCCATCATATTCGCCCAACGACTGTCGACGTTGAAGCTACCCAAAAGCAATCTTCAAACAGTTTCAGCCCAACATGGGGTCGTTGGCTAGCGCAAAGGTGAACCATGGTCAACCTCTGTTTGTGACTTTTTTGGATGCATATGACCCTGGGGCTTCCGGCCTGTGTTGCCGGACCCACCAAAGATAGAGCCAGTAGAGCCAGCAGAGCCAGCATCTGAACCTGTGGCAATCAGAGAGAAATGGAGACATCTCGACAGCTTCAGTGAACTGTTTATTTTTGCTTTGCAAGATTAGGTTACCGGAAGGGTAGTCATTTTCTACGAGTACTTGTACCAATGTATATATATATATACTAGGCGCAGATGACACGGGACTTTGCGGCCAATTTAGCCGATGTTTTTTGGCACATGACATGGGATTTATGTATCGATTTTGCTATGGATTTTTTTTTTACACATGACATGAGAGTTATGCGCCGACCTAACGGGCAGGTATTTTTCCATTTTATTGACAGATGACATGGGAATAAGTGATCAAATTTGCACATGACATGGGGCTTCCAGGAAGACACAGACGTCCAAGATGGGAAATGGCAGGTAAATTCCTTTAAATTCCTCTAAAATCTTGTAAATTCTTTTAAATTCCTTAAAAGTCCTTAAAAGTCCTTTAAATTCCTTTATAGTCCTTAAAATTCTTGAAAATTGCTTTGCATTCATTCAAATTCCTTTAAATTCCTTAAAAGACGCATTTACCACATGACACGGGACTTCCAATTCCTTTAATTCCTTTAAATTCCCTTAAATTCCATTAAAGTCATTAAAAGACGAATTTACCACATGGCATGGGACTTTCAATTCCTGAAATTCTTTTAAATTCTTTTAAATTCCTTTAAATTCTTTTATATTCCTTTAAATTCTTTTAAATTCGTTTAAATTCTTTTAAATTCTTTAAAAATTTCCTAAAATTCCTTTAAATTCCTTCAAATTCCTTTAAATTCCTTAAAAGACGAATTTATTTACAACATGGCATGGGACTTCCAGTTCCTTAAAATTCCTCTAAATTCTGCTTAATTCTTTGAAATTCTTTGAAATTCATTTAAATTCCTTTAAATTCCATTGAATTCCATTAAATTCCTTTAAATTCCTTGAAAGATACATGACATGGGTCTTCCAATTCCTTAAAATTCTTTAAAATTCCTTTAATTTTTGTTAATTTCCTTTAAATTCCGTAAAACTCATTTGCATTCCTTTAAATTCTTTTAAATACTTTAAAATTCCCTAAAATTCTCTTAAATTCCTTTAAATCCCTTTAAATTCCTTAAAAGACGAATTTACCACATGACATGGGACTTCCAACCCCTTTAAATTCCTTAAAATTCCTAAAAATTCCTTTAAATTCCTTAAAAGACGAATTTACCACATGACATGGTACTTCCAATCCCTTTAAATTCTTTCAAATTCCTTAAAATTCCTTTAAATTCATTAAAGTCCCTTTAAATTCCTTAAAAAACGAATTTAAAACATCACATGGGATTTCCAATTCCTTAAGTCCTTAAAATTCCCTTAAATTCCTTTAAATTCCTTAAAGGACGAATTTACCACATGACATGGGACTTCCAATTCCTTAATTCCTTAAAATTTCCTTAAATTCCTTTAAATTCCTTAAAAGACGAATTTACCACATGACATGGGACTTCCAATTCCTTTAAATTCCTTTAAATTCCTTAAAAGACGCATTTACCACATGACACGGGACTTCCAATTCCTTTAATTCCTTTAAATTCCCTTAAATTCCATTAAAGTCATTAAAAGACGAATTTACCACATGGCATGGGACTTTCAATTCCTGAAATTCTTTTAAATTCTTTTAAATTCCCTTAAATTCCTTTAAAAACGAATTTACCACATGGCATGGGACTTCCAATTCCTTTAAATTCCCTTAAAATCCCTTAAATTCCTTTAAATTCCTTAAAGGACGAATTTACCACATGACATGGTACTTCCTATTCCTTTAAATTCTTTTAAATTCCCTTAAATTCATTTAAATTCCTTTAAATTCCTTAAAATCCCTTTAAATTCCTTAAAATCCCTTTAAATTCCTTTAAAAAAAACTTTACCACATGACATGGGACTTCCAATTCTTTAAAATTCCATAAGATTCCAGCTGCTCAGCTCCGACCCGCCCGGACGGTTTTCCAAATAGTTGCTGAATAGCTTCGAAATAGCTGCTAAATAGCTGCTAAGTAGCTGCTAAATAGCTGCTAAGTAGCTGCTGCTCAATAGCTTCTAAATAGCTGCTAAATAGTTGTTGAATAACTACTAAATACAGTAGGTGCTAAAGAACTGCTAAATAGCTGCTAAATAGCTCCGAAATAGCTGCTAAATAGCTGCTAAGTAGCTGCTAAATAGCTGCTCAATAGCTGCTAAATAGCTGCTGAATAGTTGTTGAATAACTACTAAATAGGTGCTAAAGCTGCTAAGTAGCTGCTAAATAGCTGCTCAATAGCTGCTAAATAGCTGCTAAATTGTTGCTGAATACCTGCTAAATAGCTGCTAAATAGTTGCAAAATAGCTTCCAAATAGTTGCTGAATAATTGATCAGTGGCTTCTAAATAGCTTCGAAATAGCTGCTAAATAGCTTCTAAATAGCTGGCAAATAGCTGCTGAATAAATGCTAAAGAGCTGCTAAATAGCTTCTGAATAGCTGCTAAATAGTTGCCAAGTAGAACAAGGAGGTGAATGGATTCACGTGACTTTGGAATATTCTAACTGCTGACGTATTATTTTGGATTATTCCAACTGCTAGTAAGTAGTCATGCACTAATATACTATCTTTGTTCATGTGGGATGTGAAATGTAGAGTGTGTGAGTTAGTTGACATGACATGTTTTGCATCATTTTGGATGCAGAGGTCCCATGTCATGTGATTTTTTTTTCCGAGGCACTTTACAGATGACACGGGACTTATGCATTTTTCTGCTTTTTGCACTTTGCAGATGACATGGGAGTTTGCGTTTTTTGGGTATGTCCGACAACTCCCATGTCATCTGCAGGTACTATATATATCGAACCTCATGTTGGCTAGTATTGAACAGCACAAAATAGCACAAATATGCACGAACAGTTATGTCAGTAAGATCAAGAAGGAATTAACGATCCCAGAGCAGACCAGCTCTGCAACAAGTCCTTTGATCCAAGCCCAACAGTGGCGGAATAATTGCATCCATCACTGGGAAGGTCGCTTTTTGACATCAACCGTGCTTCGTCATGTGGATTTTGGTTTCAAGCTCCTTAAAATATCAAGAGGGGGAAAGAACAAGCAGGTGAAACCACCAACCAGTCAACCATCTTCAAAGGATTCACTCTAGAGTCAAAGAAAGAGGTACTGTGATGTTTCTTTGTTTGATGTTGAGAATGCACTGATGGTATCAGTGTCCAATCTGCATCATAGCATGCCCAACCCAGCCTGCCCCAAAGGCAAAGATGTTACCGCTACCTGAAACGTGGCCATCATGAACCCATCCAACCAATGCACAAGGAGGACATGGACAACATTTAGAACACATGATAGTTTCGCCGTTGACCCAGCCCTTCCTTGAAGTCAGTTGCCATCATATTCGCCCAACGACTGTCGACGTTGAAGCTACCCAAAAGCAATCTTCAAACAGATTCAGCCCAACATGGGGCCGTTGGCTAGCGCAAAGGTGAACCATGGTCAACCTCTGTTTGTGACTTTTTTGGATGCATATGACCCTGGGGCTTCCGGCCTGTGTTGCCGGACCCACCAAAGATAGAGCCAGTAGAACCAGTAGATCCAGCATCTGAACCTGTGGCAATCAGAGAGAAATGGAGACATCTCGACAGCTTCAGTGAACTGTTTATTTTTGCTTTGCAAGATTAGGTTACCGGAAGGGTAGTCATTTTCTACGAGTACTTGTGCCAATGTATATATATATATATCGAACCTCATGTTGGCTAGTTTTGAACAGCACAAAATAGCACAAATATGCACGAACAGTTATGTCAGTAAGATCAAGAAGGAATTAACGATCCCAGAGCAGACCAGCTCTGCAACAAGTCCTTTGATCCAAGCCCAACAGTGGCGGAATAATTGCATCCATCACTGGGAAGGTCGCTTTTTGACATCAACCGTGCTTCGTCATGTGGATTTTGGTTTCAAGCTCCTTAAAATATCAAGAGGGGGAAAGAACAAGCAGGTGAAACCACCAACCAGTCAACCATCTTCAAAGGATTCACTCTAGAGTCAAAGAAAGAGGTACTGTGATGTTTCTTTGTTTGATGTTGAGAATGCACTGATGGTATCAGTGTCCAATCTGCATCATAGCATGCCCAACCCAGCCTGCCCCAAAGGCAAAGATGTTACCGCTACCTGAAACGTGGCCATCATGAACCCATCCAACCAATGCACAAGGAGGACATGGACAACATTTAGAACACATGATAGTTTCGCCGTTGACCCAGCCCTTCCTTGAAGTCAGTTGCCATCATATTCGCCCAACGACTGTCGACGTTGAAGCTACCCAAAAGCAATCTTCAAACAGATTCAGCCCAACATGGGGCCGTTGGCTAGCGCAAAGGTGAACCATGGTCAACCTCTGTTTGTGACTTTTTTGGATGCATATGACCCTGGGGCTTCCGGCCTGTGTTGCCGGACCCACCAAAGATAGAGCCAGTAGAGCCAGTAGATCCAGCATCTGCACCTGTGATTATCCCCACATTTCCTAGGTACGTTTGACCAAGCTACACCCCTTTGCCATTTGTGTAGGGTCAT